TCCTGCTCTCTGTAGACTCTGCTGCCCCCATGCACTCCTCCCCTGGGGATTGCCCCTCCCCTCCTCTGAAATGCCCGGTGTGTGGTGGAATCAGTGGCCACAGGCACTCGCCTGCTGTAACAATGCGGAAAGAAAAACGACGGGAGAAATAGGCTCTAACCCAGTGGTTCCGAACCTTCTGGCCCTTTAAATACAGTTCCTCATGTTACGACCCAACCATGAAATTATTTTTGTTGCTACTTCATAACTGTCATGTTGCTACTGTTCTGAATCGTAATGTAAATACCTGATATGCAGGATGGTTTTAGGCGACCCCTGTGAAAGGGTCGTTCGACCGCCAAAGGGGTCGCGACCCACAGGCTGAGAACCGCCGCTCTAAACTGAACTTCACCAAAGAAAATACATGACAAGGTTTATTTCTTCGCAGGGCAGCTGGATGCAGCTGCAGAAACATGCCATTTCCTTTTCCCATAACGGAAACCAATGTGAAGCAGGGAGCTTTCCTGATTAGTTCAAGAAACAACAGACGAAGTTACAAAAATATTTCCCTGCATCAGGGCTGGCTTTTCGAGGGAACAGAGGGATGTGCAGTGTGTTGATTTTTACACCATTCCCAAATGTTGTGCTAAACAGAGTGGATCCATAAGTATTTCTTGATTGGAATGAAGGCTGTAAACGAAATAACTTATCAAAACCAACACCTTCGGTTTTAATGTCAAAAGGAGAGAAGAGTTGCGGGCGCTCGGAGGGTGGCTCCTGCAGATGATGCCCGGGAAAGGCCTGGGTTCAGTGTGGCACCCGCTCTGGCGAGGCTCCTGCAGGTGCTGGCACAGACCAGCGAGAGGAGGCGCTGCTGCAGGACAGGGGAGGAGAGTGAATGACCTCCAGCCACACAGCGTGTCCTGTCTCCTTTATGTGTTCTGTACCTTGTTAACATGTCAGTGTAGGTGCTGAGGGTGCGTTCCACGCCTTCCTGTCTCTCTTGGGGGATAAGAAAAAATCCCCCACTTGTGACTGAACCCCGTCCCTTTACAAATTCATACACTCCACCCGATTTCAGGAGAGAAAAGCTCACGCTCACATGTATGCGTGTGACTTCAAAAGACGTCAGGAGTCTAAGACGTGATATACACAG